TTTCAGCAGCTTGTACACGGGTTCGAATTTTTCAGTGATGGTCCACGATTCATGAACGTAGATAAGTATGGGGATGAGGACCAACTTGAACATTGAGTGCTTAGTTTTCAAACTGAGTTCTGCTTGATTTACAATTGATCAGGCTATATCACGTAGAACGCCCCTGACTACTACAATTCGCCGGTCGATCTTATCGTCAAATTTTCCACCACTGGTAAATGCGACTCAGAGACACTTGAACTCCTCCACTGCCTTTCCCTTAATCTGAAAAGAGAAACGGGAATAATAAATTGTTAAATGAAGTAAGAAAGTCAGCCATCTGGAACCTTTGAACCTAACAGGTGAACCGAATCCTGAACGGAATCAATCTTGATCTAACTGCGTACTCTGGTTACTTTTACTCTGGAGGCCATCCACATAAGAAAGGAACATCACAACGATGTGAAACACTGTGTAATGCAACGCTTCAATTTCGTTTGTGGCAAGACCCACATTAGTAACTGTGGCGGTACAGAACATGGGAACATAAGGTCTGTTTAATCTGCGCAAACGATGCGGTTCAACTTGCACAACAGCATCGTAAATAATCATGTTATCCAGTGTTAATCGAGCAGAGTTGTTTGAAGAGAAAGAAACTAAAAGAAAGGAAGATATTTAAAGCGGTAATTTGGAAAAAATTGGCAACAAACCAATAGACGGCAAGAGACGTGCAGCAATCAACACAAAGTCGTTAGCGCTGCTGCACCAGCAACGCTGCAGTGCCCAACTACGATTTCTTATCTTTTCACATATTGTATATCACAATAACCAATCCCTACTGAACCACCTGTCACACTGCGTCCAACGCGCTTTCTAACTCTAGCCATATCCTCCGTTCCACTATGGCGCCTCTTCGAATGGGGGAGACAAGTATACAAAGCTTCGCCTACAGTTGCTTTGTTAGCGTAAGATGCAGGAATATATTGGGTTTTGCTCCGTTTTGGACCTTACTGGCTCACTGTTCAATCTGTTGTGACTAAATTTTTCAGTCAGTCAGTTTCGACGATTACTTATCCTTTCGGGTCGTGGAGGCAGACACGTTAGCCACTATTTGGTCGATCTTATGCCAGCGTTTGTGTTTAGACATAAGGAAATCTGAGTCTTAGCAGAGTCCTTCCATAACCTTGCTCAAGGATATTCCTGGCCGTCCTTGGAATCTTCGGTTGGTCAGGAATTTCATCAGTAAATTGACTATGGACATGAAAACGCATTTAGTTCAGAAAAATGTTTATAAAATTTAAATTTAAATCAGTGTCTTTTTCCGCTTCAACTTTTCGAAAGACGCACACTGTGCCTTTCGTTTATGACCTGGTTATGAGCTTCAGTAGTAGGAAGCTCTCTCGATATCTTTTAATACTTGATTGTCTTATCTACACCTACAGTAAGCAAACCTCTAAGGGCATACTTTTGACGTTTCGCTACAAAGGCGAGACCACGAAGATTTTTAAACTTTGAGAAATTTCTTAAGTTCCTTTTATTATTCTTCACTCATCATTGACAGAACATCCTCAAAGTATTTGCATTCTTGCTGAATATGACCAAGGTCTTGTGTTTGTCGACTGGGAGAGGCAGCGTATAACCTGGACTCTACAAAATCGATTCTGTTGTTTACTTTTCAAGTGAATCACATGCTTCGTCACGAAACGAAATGAATGCATATGAAAGCTTTGTCTTATGCATTAGTGGTAAGAACTTATTTATTTTGTTCGATGTAACATGTACGTCATTTTTATCACTGATTAAAATTACATGCAAATGACTGAAATATTTTGCGCGAAATTCGATTGTTCCTTTACTCAAAAAGTCGTATGCTTTCGCTTTTGTCAAAAATCTTCGTGAAATTCATTGGCAGAATTGCTTAAAATTCTGTTACACATCCGACATTAGCTAACTTCTTCAAAAGGCTCATAATGCTTCATTCATCCTTTGTGACTAGACTCTGACCTACAAATATTTACAGCGGATATAAGCTAATTTCAGACCATTCTTGTTATAAGATTCCATTTTGTCGTTTTCTGTTATTTCATTTGTTATTATTTGTTGATTTTTATATTTGTTTTACTGATTTCGGCGATTATAGTTTTTCAGTTAGATCGTATGTTTCAGTAAGATTAAACGGTGACATGCACACATTGACAGTAATTGCTGTTGATAGCGATTTCAGTTAAGGAGTGAAGACATCTTCTCCCTACATAACGCTATCGTTCGACCTGTCACTGGAGAAATACGTGGACCCCGCAAGACAAGCAGATCACCTGTTTGTCTACGTTGACTCTGTGGCAGAAAGACAGTATCGATCGATAACACCTGCTGGTTATGATGGTATTATTGGTTGTGGCGTAACTGAGCTATGATTTGCTCGTCGCTGTGTGAAAAAGGGATCATTGCTGAACCAAGCAGATAGTACGTTCGGTTTCAAGATCCAAGAATCCATCAACTCCGGGAATGGCTTCAGATAAATTTGTTGCATGAATGTAGATAAGAATGATAGAAGACAATTGTGTGGCGATATCTTCAAGAAGCTTTTATGCAGCAGTGTCACAAAAGGCTAGTAATGATTATGTTTAAAATTTTTCAATACTAAGCTTGGCTAAAAGTCAGTAAATAGTGCTGTGTCTGTTCAAAAACTCTTCTCTGCAAACCTTTTTTATGAGTGGATTAATTTTCGTTTTGGACTTTTTTGACAAAGTAAACTTTACATTGTTGATTTTATGCGGTTGTGAAGAAGTTGCCTGATGAATTCGGTTAGACTGGATTATACTTAAGGCTTGGATTAGGCTTATTCGTTTGGGCAATGAAGTTGTTATTTTCAGCACAACATGATATTTTCAAGTCAGTAAGCTGAATGGCAACTTTGAACGATTACTTAGCAACTTAAAAATTACTAAGCTCTTTGTCTCTCTGAACAATGCGATGCAATGTTTCGTACATTCATTTTTTTCTGCTCTTTTAAAGTTCTGAAAGTTTTGACGTTGATGAATGGCATAACTGATCTGAAGATGGCATTTGCTAACCTTCTGGTTCCAGGAAGCGTCAGACATTCGTGCTGTGGATAGGTTTTTGCATAAGTATACTTTTATTTACTGAAGTTATAGGTCGCTTTTAGAGTTCCTCTACTAGCATGAAGTTCGTGTATTTCAGCGGGCTTTGACAACGTGAGATGGGAGACCGGAGAATTCACCGTATTTCCTTCTACCGATTATTCATTCTCATGTTCAACTGACTGGACACTGCAAAACTTGGCCAGGTAAAGGTCAAACGCACAGCTAAGAGCTCAGAGTAGCAAGTAGTCCTTCGTCACTGCAAGGAATGCAGCTGAAGTTATGTATCCGAACTACTTTTCTTATACTCGCTAATCCATGAGGATTCTCAAAAGAAGTAGATAAGTACAGTCCTTCGCAGATGAGTTGTTGGCATTGTTCAGGACGTCATTCTTTTTCCTCTGTACTCAGGTATCTTCACTTATGACAGTGTCGCTTATCTTTCCAGTTAAATGCCTTAATGCAACGATGCTGTATCAGGAACGGTGTAATCACCTGAGAACAGAAAAAATTTATTAATGGCATTTCTATCATATTTCAATACGTTTCCGCTATTGTCCTCGTTTGTATACGTCTAAAGCTACTCCATGGATCTACTTCTTGCGAAA